GTGAGTGGTTGTCTTGCATCATCAGGCCAATGGCTTCTACCCTTTAATGGTTTGATGCAGCCACTATATGTTTTCTTATACGTTTCAACTGTGTAAATGGAATCAACATATTCCTCGACCTCCCTCATATATCGTTCTCTTTGGAGCCAAATTGCACAAATTCCATGTACACAAGGAATTCAGTAAGCTGCCAAGCATTACAAGTGCAGGTTCTTCCTTCTAAATTGACACTATGCTGCTCAAATGTTTCTCTTTTGAATCCTCGCACCTCAAATAAAAATTTGTCACTTTGTATGGAGGTGTAACCACCAGCAATTCTCAAACGAATAGCCAACTTTGCAGCAATAGTTGGACACACAAGTCCCTTCCAGTTCTCGGCTTTATCTCTCAAAGCAAAGAACCTTTTCATTAACATTTCTCGAATCGCTTCTAGGCATTGCATTAGATTTTGAGACCTTGCTTCCTTTAGTACCCAACTATAAGACTCACAAATATTATTTGTGAGGATGTCACTCATCGGGTGCTTGTGAAAATGCGATCTAGACCACTCTGAAGCTGGTTTATCCATCAACTCACTGTACGCACTAACATTTTCTTCCTCTATCTCACTTAAGACTAATTCAAAGTCTGGAACTGTAGTAGCCTTAGCAGCCTCCCATAAGAGGTCCTTCAGTGCCTTACCACCACAGCCGACAATTTTAAAATTGTCTTCTAAGTGCCTTACACAGAATATGTGCATTGACAGGGGTAGCACATCTTCAAAGCTTGGAAAATGTATGTATATATATATATATATATATATATATATATATATATATATATATATATATATGGGATTGACTCTAGTCAGATGACATGTTTCGGTCAGATGACAACGAATGCTCATTCTGAATCAATGTAGCGCTCATTCTTAAACAACGTAGGAATCATTCTCACACAACTGTTCATCACAATGTAGTGTTCATTCATAGCCAGCGAGACGACAACATAGGGTTCATTTTGAATCCACGTAGTGTTCATTCTAAGACATTGTAGGGTTGACTTTCACACATTTGTTCATTATAAACGTAGTACTCATTCTGAAACAACCTAGTACTCATTCACAGTCTGCTCAGTGTAGTGTTCATTCTGAAATAAGGTGGTGCTCATTCTCAAACAAGGTGGTGCTCATTCTGAAGCATGTCATCTGACCGAAAGTGTCATCTGACCGAAAGATGTCATCTGACTGGAGTCAATCCCTATATATATATATATATATATACACATATATATATATGTATATATATACACATATATATATGTATATATATATATATATACACACACATATATACATATATATATATATACATATATATATATATATATATGTATATATATATATAGTATTAAACATTTATTTTAACGTACACTATGTGAAATAACATACAAAAGAATGATAAAAAGAATCTTGTATTATAAGAAAGTAATTACCTAACATGAAGGTGAATACTTCTTTGTTTGAATCGTTGAGTCCCAAATAAGATTTGAGCTGTTCCAAAAACCATGTCCAGGATTCCTTTCTTTCACTCTCTACAATCGCATACGCATAAGGGAAAATGTTCTTGTTCCCATACAACCCATTTGCAACCAACAAAACACCTCCAAACTTGCACGTCAGGTGACATCCATCCATACCTATGATCTTCCGACAATGTTTGAACTCTTCTCGCGATGCTTCTCAACAAAAGTACACTCTCTGAAATCTGTGTTCAGTTCCTTCATTGACAAAGTTAATTTTACATGTGGTACCCGGATTAGTTCTCATGATTTCTTGAGCATATCTCCTTAAGTACTTGTAGTCCTCCTCTGCCAATCCATGATCCTGAGCATAACCCATTCTTAGTGCCCTCCATGCTTGTATGTATGAGGTGGCCCTTTTCTTGTGTCTGCGCATGTTTTTGGAAGTCCTCCACTTTGCAGTTCGGATGGTATTTCATTTCTCCCTTCCACCTGTGAGCAAGGAGTGTCGAGTTCATCACTTTATTGTAGTACTTCCAGGTGCACCCTTCATGGACATCGTTAAAGTACGTATCCATGTAGTCTGTGCTGCCCTGTACCTTATGAATTCTCAACTTCCAAGGAAAAGTACTACTTTTTGGTTTAGTCCCACTTGCCTCGTCGTGTTGTGTCCACTTCACCCTCTTCTCACCCCCATCAACACAACTAACATATACCCTCCTTTTGTCATTCTTATCAAGCCTCAAGCATTCACCATTCACAAGACCATAGTTTTTTTACTGCCTCAATGAATAGTTTTTTGGTGGCAAATAACAAGCCAACAGAAAAATGGGGATTCTTTAAGGGGGTGTTTGTTTTTTCTGCAGGAAAAGGTCTGCAGTCTGCGGACCACTACTGTAGACATCTTCAGGAGAAGTGGTGGACCGAAGGTCTGCGGTCTGCAAAAAGAAGACTGTTTATTTTTTAATGTCTGTAGATTGCTATATAAATTAATGATAGTAGTGTACGGTGGTGATGTATGGACGATTGTGGTGGTGGTGGAGGGTGGTGGTGAAGGGTGGTGGTGGA